TAAAGAGCATTTTTCTTATGGAGAAGCAGTAAGCACTAAACAAAGAGGCCAAACCCTTCATCTCCCATCGCCGCTAACTCTTCCGCTTCCTCCCACCGCAAAGCCATTTTTTGGCCTATTTTCACCAAAGTGGCTCTTTCACCCGCTTCAGACCTAGATCCATCTTTTGTCACTTTCATCGACGTCAACGAACCATGCATTGTCAACGCCCTTATCGCCGCCATCGAGCGTCGTCTGATAAATATTGAGCTAAGTGCGGAAACGTAAAGAACACGATGTTTACGTGGTATCCACGTTGTACGGGACTAGTCCACGGGAGAGAGGGAGTCTCTCCGGCTCTGATGATCTTATTATTGAACGAGTGTGGCCATAGGCCTTATGTAGACACCACATTTTGTCCGGAGCTACCATCCTGCTCAAAACTCAAAAGAATATCCAACTTAAAAAGAAAACTCAAGTGAAATTCGGACGAGGTTGGTTGAGATTAGCAGTGGCCAATCAATAAGTACCAACAATTTTCGAGTCCATTTTATTTGGTTTGAACATTTGCACTAGGTAGGATTAGCAGTAGCTAATGGCTACCAAATTCGCTTTATTTAGAATAACAATAGTATGCTGTCACGACCTATACTAATATCATTGTATTCAATTTACAGTTGGTCACATTGGTCTAAAGGTGGTCAAATGGACGAATGGTAGTAATCCATGATTTGGGAAACGTTGATTAGAAGTTTGGATATGGTTTAAAATTGGAGAAGCAAACAAATGGGGTTGGAAGAATCAATTGAATGTTTGAGCAATACATACAATGATCATCTAATTCTGAAGGCAATAACATAAATAAATAAATGTGTAATTACAAATTACAATTTATAACCTGTAAGATACAGTTAGTAATTATACATTAAAAAAAACTATCAGAAACAAACCCACACCAGCAGCCCAATTCTCAAACCATAAACCCAATCCAGGCCCATAATTTTCGGCCCAATCCACAAGTCAACCGGCCCAGTCAACCAAAGTCAACGAGTCATCTTTGGTCAACTTGGATCAACCGACTTCTTACAGCCTTATCTCATCCCAAAGGCCAACAATGATTACTGCCTTTTCTTGAAAGGAGGAAAAACAGCTAGCTCTTCTGCAAACCGACCAAACAATTGACAACACACCAAAATGAATAGTAAAAGAGGCCAATATATATTGGAGAAGGGTTCTCGGTTCCAGGAGGAGGGGGAGGAGAGCACAAAAAAAATACACAGCAAGCTTGATAAGAAAAAGGGCAGCTGATGCTCAAGAAAAACAGGACAAAAAAACAGCAGCAAGCATTGACAAGAGAAAAAAAAAGCAGTATTAGAAGATCAAAGAGGAGCAGCACCAAGGAGAAACTCGGCATAAACCCAGGCAGAAAGATCAAAAGGGGGCAGCAAGCAATCATATTCAAATCACAAAGGACCACTCTTCACAGTTCCAGGTTAGTATCTCTCAGATCCAAACACAACACATATTTAATCGATTCACAAGAGTAAATCATTCATCTCATCATGATAAACGTAACTGAAAGCATAAATGAATATCCATGATAGATCTATAACCGATGCTTGTTAGGAAATCTAAACTAGCTTCCATCAACACTTTCTCGTTTTAAACAAACTCATGTAAACATACCTTTACTAACCTGATCTACATATGCTTTGCTAACATATCTTGGTAATAATTTAGATCTGAATCACCTTTGTATTTTGCACTCATTATATATATGAGCTGTATTCCCTGTTATGATATGTAATAAGTTAGCCCTAAAGGTGAGTACGTCCCTCTAGTTCAAGCATAGTTGAATTCCCAACAAGAGAATCCATTTCCAATCCTCATGATAATAGCAAAAAATAACAGACTCGGATTCATTACAAACTCAGTTTTAGGAGGCTACCATAGAAAGACATTTTCTTTCATTTTCTAGGGAACCCCTCCAAATCCAATCATATCTTATAATATAACCTTACGTTTTAAAGACAAGGTCCTTAGTAAAGGCTATGTCTTTTTCTATCATCCTCAAAGTACAGTATAATAATCAGGAATACAAACTTTCTACAATACAAAACATATGAAACCAACGCATACTACAATAGTTTCTTCAAATATGAAATCATTAGCAATGGCTAAGACTTTCAGTTAGCTTTGAATCGTTTCCAAGTTTATCCAACATTGGTTTTTCATTGGTAATCCTGATAAAACTTTTGCTAGATAAACCCCATCAAGAACAACTTTTTTCTTTCATTCTAGAATCACAAGCAGAGGCTGTGATTTTCGGTTATCTAAAATTATTTAGAAATCACAAGCAGAGGCTGTGGTTTTTATATATCTTAAAATCATTTCATAGTTAATAAACCCAGCAAAACAAACGATTTACCAAATTTGACCATAAAACACCAATTCAGCTAGCAGATTAAGAAACTAATTCCTAGCTAATTAAAACCCAGAACCTAAAGCGGTTAAAAACCAAATCTCATTCTCAATTTTACCTTTTAATCATACAAGGTCGTGAGATGGGAGAACATCACCCCGATCTCGGTCTCCTCTAACCTGCATTCCAACCTAATCAGCAGTGTTAGATTTCAATCCCGAAGAAATTAACCAAATAAAATCTAATCAAAACCCATTTCATCAAACCTACTGAGAGAAGGAACCGAAAGGTTCAGTTGAAGTCTCTTGTCGGCAGCGACTGCTGCCTCGGCGGCGTCGACTCTTGCTCCGGCGGCTCCAAGCCGCCCTCTTTTCCTTCGATTACAACCCGAAAACCCCGAATCCAAAATAAACGCTCAAAATTATAAACAAAGGAAATCTCATTAAAGCCTATTTCGTCAATCCTACCGAGAGAAGAAAACAAAGGAAATCTCATTAAAGCCCTCTTTTCCCCTCGCGTAAATCCAAAACCAAAAAACATCAGAATTCGGTTTTTGAAATAGAAAACCAAAAGATATCCTACATGCAAGGCGGAATCTTACCCAGTTCGCCATTTTTTTTGTCAATCTGGGGAGTTCGAGTCCTTCTTGTGTCTGGCGATCGGAGAGAAGAGGGAAGTATGAGATGATTTCGTTCTCGGGCGTGGATGATCTCTAGGTAGTAGATCGAGCGGGGAAGAAAGCAATTCGAGAGAGGGGGAAGGATTTCGTTTTTGTTGTTGTTTGTGTGTAGTTTCAGAGAGGCCAGAGGGGAGAATAGAGAGAGAGAGAGAGAGAGAGAGAGAGAGAGAGAATTAGAGCATCGGCCGTTTTGGTCGATTTAGGATCAGGCGGCTAGGGTTTATCGGTCTAGGTACATGTATCTCGGTCCCCGAACTGACCAAAATACCCTTAGGTTTTTCTTAAAATTACTGCTCCTTGCCACCGCGTTTTCGTGAAAGTACAAAAATGCCCTTCCCTTGTGTTGAAAAACGAAAATTATATAGGAAGGTTGAGGTATCGAACCCGATACCTTCGGGTCCGAAATTCGGTCGAGCTACATAACCAGTTGGACTGCTGGTCCATCTTCTGCAAATTTAATCAATCAGATTCATTTTATTATTTAATATCCTTAATACGAAATTTCATATGCGGATTAAGTTAATCTTGTTTCTTTTCTAATACACCAAGTATCTTCCTAAAAACTAAGATTATTATGTTTCTCTTAACAACCTCATAATAACCTATTCAAATTTTTTAACAAAATTCTTAATGTGAGAATCACGATCAGTGGAACGTGATTACAACTAAATTATCAAAGTTCAAACGAACTACGTGGACTTTGATCCCGTCTAACGGGTACGTAGGCAACCGATAAGGTTCGAGTCCAACTAATCAACTAACTTTATCTTTAAATTTTTACGTCAGTGGGCATTTAATTAAATCATAATTAATACGATTAAATCATTAAACGGTCCAGTGGGACCCCGAAAATACAAAATACTACAAAAATACACCCAATTCGTATAAAACTTATCGACTTAAGTAGTACCGATTTAGGGCGTTGTGGGGTGTGATTTCACTTCCCCACACGTAACCGTACTCCCGAACCCAAATTTCTTAACCGCAGACCATATCTCGGTTCTGACCCTAAGGTTAGAGCCGACCGAAGAGTGTTCGATCCACTCCAAGTAAGATCGATGGCGACTCCCAAAAATGCCGACGTGACGATATACGGACCCCCGGAGGGACGGTTGCGACAGTTGGCGACTCCGCTGGGGACCTCGAGAGTCGAGCTACATAACTAAGTTCGATAAGTTTTCTAATTTTATATTACGTGTTGGGTGTTTACTTTACTATTTGCGCAATTATATTTTCGCAATTGAATTCTGCATTCATGCATGAAAGCTCTATACCCAAGCTATCCTATTAGAAACGGAAAAGGAGTACTGTGACTTTCACAGTAGTGGAAACCACGCAAAACTTTCCAACCAAGTTGAACTCAGATCCAAGGTTGATCTTGAGGTATCCAGCCAGTTCGTAAGGGCTATGGCAGGATACAGCTTGGGAGCCAAATCCCTAGGAATTCCCCCTGCCAGCATATAGTAAGCATAGAGACCTCCCTAAGCCGTCCAAAACAATCTCCAAAGCCACCCTAAAACCATGTCGGTACGCCATCCGAAAGCCCTAGGTCTACCAAATGGGGTAATGATGTAATGATATATGTTTGCTTATCTAAATGTATGTTTACTTACAACGTAATGATATGCGTTTTATCTTTTACTCGTAAAACTGTGTGATTGCATGAATGGAAAACGTTTTCAATTCATGAACATCATTCTCTCATAAGATTTTCATTCACTCATTAACAACTTATCATAAGAAGATTAAAAAGGCATGCATAAAACGAAAAATGAATTCGAATTCATACATCATTAGCATTTTTGCATAAGCATCATGCATACATTGTCATCATAAATGAAAAATAATTTGACAGTATTGAGACAAATCAGGTTTCCTTAAAATTGCTCGTCCACAAGGAAAAAGTCAGGACTTCAAGTACTTAACTAGATCCAAGCTCGAGTTCGTCATTGAAGCGTTTCAGAAAAAGTTAAGCGACATTGAAGGAAAGATGACCAGATTCGATGAAAAGCTAGTCGGGTTCGATGAAATGAAGGATCAGCTGAACATGATAGTAAAGATCTTATCAGCTAAAGGGAAAGAGGTAGTACCTAACGATGAAGAAATACATTCCGATGAGGAAGATCGCGATGGGCACCTGAAGGGTGAAGATTCCAATGCTAAGATTCCCGTCATACCCTTAAAAGACATACATGACAAGAAAAACGTAGGATCTCCCAAATATGATCGAGAGGCAGACAAATTGGGAGGATCCATGGATGAAGTGCTATTAAAAGAAAAATGGGAATACCTGAACGAAAGGGTGAGAGCCATTGAAGGGGTAGAATCCTATGGTTCTACTAATGCCACACAGTTGTGCCTAGTGCCAGACGTGATAATTCCCCATAAGTTTAAAATGCCTGAGTTTGAGAAGTACGATGGTACCACGTGTCCTAGAAACCATCTGATCATGTATTGCAACAAAATGGCTAATCACATCCGAGATGAAAAGCTCATGATACATTGTTTTCAAAACAGTTTGAGTGGGCCAGCTGCAAGGTAGTACATGCAACTTGAAAGGTCGAAGGTGAAAAGGTGGCAGGATCTTGCCGATGCATTCATGAAACACTAAAAGCACAATCAAGATTTAGCCCCAGATAGAGAAGATTTACGCGCCATGGAAAAGCAAGCGAAGGAATCCTTTCGTGAGTATGCACAGAGGTGGCGAGGAAAGGCCGCAGATGTTCAACCCCCCTTGTCAGAAAAAGAAATGGTTTCGACCTTCTTTGAAACACTGAAGCCTCCATATTACAACAACATGGTAGGGATCACCACAACAAATTTTACAGATTTGTTAGTAATTGGAGAGAGAATAGAGAAAGGGATTAAGCAAGGCAAGATGGAGAATTCAGAAGCCTCGAAGAACGCTAGTCAATCTAGAAAAGGAGAGGCGGATGTTCACTCAAAACAAGGGGACAAATCAAAAGGGACACTGTGGAATCGCCAACCTCAAGGTGATCAAAGTTACCCATATGTTGAAAACACTACATCGATTATCCCACAACCAAATTTCGTCAATCGTCAGGCAGTACAGGCGCCACCGCCTACAACCCCACAAGCTAATAATCAGGACGCAAATAGTAATAGGGGATACAAAAAGAGATTCGAATCAATCCTATCCCCATCACATATACCGAATTGTTCCCCCAGCTGCTCCATGATCAGTTAATTTCCCCTATACCATGTCGTCCGATGCAGCCTCCATACCCAAGATGGTACAAACCAGATGAACATTGTGATTACCACTCAGGAGCGGCAGGACACTCAACCGAGAATTGCAAATGGTTAAAAAACAGGGTCCAACAAATGATAGAAGCCGGATGGCTGAAATTTGAGGAAAGGCCAAACACTCCAGACACCGATAGCAATCCGCTACCCAGTCATGGCAACTAATGTACACGCCACGTATCAATGCTCAATTCGAGGATCATGTGGATCTTTGAGAACAAATAAATATCGAGACAGTTTCTCATGTTTAAGATGTACTACCTTTTGCTTTAATCATATGGAATAAGAGATCACCCATATGTCCAACTACTTCGGACATTTTGTGATAATTATCGATCTCGATTTTGGATTTTGCATCAATAGCCTTTATCTTCCCAAATAATGAATGTCTCTTTCAAATATTTCGACTTGATTTCCATAAAAACTAAAAAAAATCAAATCCATCACATGTTTTCAAGTTCAGCCATGAGATTGCCATAATAAGCAATTATAAGCACCCCACTGGTGTTGAGAGTTGGAACACCCCACTGGTGTCGAGCGATTATAAACACCTTACTGGTGTCGATATTTTGAGCACCCTACTAGCGTTGAGAGTGTGCACACTTTCCTAGATTTGAGAGTATAAACACCCCATTGGTGTCCATAAAAATCATGTGAGCTAATAGTCAAAGGGTGAAACGAGGATACGACACCAGGCTATTTGTAGGATCTTGTCACCAACACAATATGCCTTTGCTAGAAAATTGATACCCAACTAGGCCCAAAATCAAGCAACAGATTCATGATACGCAGAAAATAACCACTCGCAGCAACTCAAGGTCTGTCTACCATCCTCGACCAACAACGAGTGGGACCTCAAGAGCTTACACGATAAGAAACCTTTATAGTCGGTGACACTTCACACAAAAACCTCCTCAACATGCCACTTTGGGACCAATCAAGAATTCATTAGATCCCTACTCGACCTTGTCTTTTAAAAAGCAAATTTTCAAAAGAAAGGGGTAACACAAGCCAAAAATGCACACCCCAAAGATGACCAATATACACCACTATTTCCGAGTAGGAGAGACCACCTCAATGAAAACGAACCTACAAACCCGACAACGATCTCCTATACATCGGTTAAATCTCATACTTTGGGGGCAAACCAAAATCCCTTATAAAAAAACTTCATATGACTAGAACATATTCACTACGAGTTTCTACTATCTCGTCACTCAAACTCACATCTTGAGGAAAACCGAATCCCGAGGCAAGAAGATCCTCACGATTAAAGTCAGGTTCAACCAAAAAGCTCATTTAGGGAAATATTACATACCTCCACTACAAGACCATATGATGATCGCCAAAACCAATTACGCGAAACTTTCCTGTGTTGAGAAAACCTGAACCTCGAGCTCATCTGAACGACAACTGAAGGAGACATCACATAGTGACATGAATCTTAATGGTAGCTGAAATGTCGTAAACTCGAAGCACCCATAGGAATGAGTGAGAATGAAAAGATGAGTGGGAGTGAAACTGAGGGCTTATTGGTACTCTCATGGCTTGATTTTACTAAAACGATTTTGCACAATTTGCACACACTTCTCTCAAGCAAGTTTTGATATATGAAATGAGTTTCCATTATTCGCAAAAGGTTTTGGACATTGTTGCATTCATCCGTAGTCATGGTTGATAAGAATCACTCTTTGTTTCTGAAGTATTGGAAAAGAGTATAGATCTTTGGGGGGCAAGAATAGCGCATCCTGGAAGAGTGGACTTGCAAAGTACTCAATACTAAGATTTCCAAAGAATAAGTAGATGAAGACATATTAAGGATTTCAAAGCACTCACGACTCATTGAATCCAATCGAATGGCCAATCTACCCTTCAAACGACTCGACTAGAAGGAAAAACTCTATATATGATGAATACTTCGAGCCACGTAACAGAGTTGTACCACACAATGTCTCTGCAAAGCCAACATTGAAATATATTTCTCAGAGTAATAAATCTTCTCAACCAATCACGACATCACTCATATTACAAGAAACACCCACAGCGGGCAGGCCACCATGTGGAACACATTATTCCAAGCCCTACTCCTATGATGATGGACTTCCCAAGTGACATACGTCGAAGGCTCAAAGCAATATCCAGCAACTTTGTCCCTTTACCATGGGGGCAAACAAAATCAAGAGTTAGTTCTAAGGATCAAGTGGATAAAGAACAATGACTTCTTGTGGATAATCAATTTTAAGGAATCTATGATAAAAAAAAACATATCTTTCAACCATACAATCATGCATCATACTGTATTTTCTCGTGACATCAATGACATCATCCTAAAATATCATAAAATCGTACGTCCATATGGACTTCAGACATCCATCGGACGATTTTATACAAACTATACAACAATTGCATGTTTTTCTTGCAAAGCTTGGCATTCATTTTGACTTACAATTTTGGCGAGTCATTGCATCACTTTATGCATGTCTGCAACAAATGTCATAAACCAATAAAGGATGACTGGCGAGCATCACGAAATCCGCCAACGCTGTCGAGCGTTAAATAAGTACAGTAGACGATGAATGGCGAGCATCACCAAATCTGCCAATGCTGTCGAGCGTTAAATTAGTACAGTAGACGATGAATGGCGAGCATCACCAAATCCGCCAATGCTGTCGAGCGTTAAAAAAGTACAGTAGACGATGAATGGCGAGCATCACCAAATCTGCCAACGCTGTCGAGCGTTAAAGAAGTACAGTAGACGATGAATGGCGAGCATCACCAAATCCGCCAACGCTGTCGAGCGTTAAAGAAGTACAGTAGACGATGAATGGCGAGCATCCATAAATCCGCCAACGCTGTCGAGCGTTAAAGAAGTACAGTAGACGATGAATGGCGAGCATCCACAAATCCGCCAACGCTGTCGAGCGTTAAAGAAGTACAGTAGACGATGAATGGCGAGCATCAACAAATCCGCCAACGCTGTCGAGCGTTAAAGAAGTACAGTAGACGATGAATGGCGAGCATCAACAAATCCGCCAACGCTATCGAGCGTTGAAGAATTACAGTAGACGATGAATGGCGAGCATCCACAAATCCGCCAACGCTGTCGAGCGTTAAATAAGTACAGTAGACGATGAATGGCGAGCATCAACAAATCCGCCAACGCTGTCGAGCGTTAAATAAGTACAGTAGATGATGAATGGCGAGCGTCAACAAATCCGCCAACGCTGTCGAGCGTTAAAGAAGTACAGTAGACGATGAATGGCGAGCATCAACAAATCCGCCAACGCTGTCGAGCGTTAAAGAAGTATAGTAGACGATGAATGGCGAGCATCAACAAATCCGCCAATGCTGTCGAGCGTTAAAGAATTACAGTAGACGATGACTAGCGAGCATCAGCAAATCCGCCAACGCTGTCAAGCGTTAAAAAAGTACCATAGAAGATCACTGAAGAGAATCAACGCACGGGAGCTGAGGAGCGCCCCTACCATTTAATACCTCATGGGAGCTGAGGAGCGCCCCAACCATTCAAAACCTCACAGGAGCTGGCGAGCCCCTCTATCAGTCAACAACGCACGGGAGCTGAGGAGCGCCCCTACCACTTAATACCTCATGGGAGCTGAGGAGCGCCCCAACCATTCAAAACCTCACAGGAGCTAGCAAGCCCCTCTATCAGTCAACAACGCACGGGAGCTGAGGAGCGCCCCTACCACTTAATACCTCATGGGAGCTTAGGAGCGCTCCAACCATTCAAAACCTCACAGGAGCTAGCAAGCCCCTCTATCAGTCAACAACGCACGGGAGCTGAGGAGCGCCTCTACCATTTAATACCTCATGGGAGCTGAGGAGCGCCCCAACCATTCAAAACCTCACAGGAGCTGGCGAGCCCCTCTATCAGTCAACAACGCACGGGAGCTGAGGAGCGCCTCTACCATTTAATACCTCACGGGAGCTGAGGAGCGCCCTAACCATTCAAAACCTCACAGGAGCTGGCGAGCCCCTCTATCAGTCAACAACGCACGGGAGATGAGGAGCGCCCCTACCATTTAATACCTCACGGGAGCTGAGGAGCGCCCTAACCATTCAAAATCTCACAAGAGCTGGCGAGCCCCTCTATCATTCAATAACGCATAAGAGATAAAGAGCGCCCCTACCATTTAATACCTCATGGGAGCTGAGGAGCGCCCCAACCATTCAAAACTTCACAGGAGCTAGCGAGCCCCTTTATCAGTCAACAACGCACCGGAGCTGAGGAGCGCCCCTACCAAATCAATACCTCACAGGAGCTGGCGAGCCCCTCTATCATTCAATAACGCATAAGAGATAAAGAGCGCCCCTACCAGTAAATACCTAACCGGAGCTGGCAAACGCTAACAAAATATAGCAGAAGATGATTAACGGGCATCAGAAGAAACCGTCGACGCTGTCGAGCATCAAGAAGTACAATATAGTGAGTATCAGAAAATTACTCGCGTTGACGAACACTATATAAAAGCCTAAATTTTCCATCAGTGGCGAAGACTATCAAAGAAACTGAAGTTCTCGCTATCGGAAATCTTATACAAACACA